GTTTCTATGTCCTTCCTCTAATAAACCTATCGATTTTTTTGCAAAAACATTGCTTTCTAGATTTCTCCAGAAATTAAACTGTCTCCCCGAATACGAATTTGAACAACAATACCACTAATATTTAAGAAAATTGCATATAAATCTGTCTTTGTGCTCTTGCATATCTTTGCTCTTGTCAGCTCTTCGCTGTTTTTATCAAGAACATCTTATGATAAATTTTATTTTGAGGGTTTTAAGCAATAGATTCATATTCCATTATCTGTTTGAATATCAAACAAACGTGGATAACTACAATTACTGATATTTTAAAATAATTGTTCAGACATTCGTAAATGCTGTCGTTTTCACTCATTTCTTAAAATATAGGGTGAGCTTTGAGTAACAGGCTTTTTTTACCGTCAAACGTCTTTTAAAAACAGTGTAAACTACTCCATATATGATGTCTATCAAATTTACTATGGGCCCTAAAGTCAATCCTACATCATCAAATATTATTTGTTGAAATTTGGCAAACAGTACATAATTTGTTATAAATTTTGTTGGCAAGGGCGGTACCCATTTTTGATGCCCATTATATGCTTTTTTTATCATTCAAATCCACCTGCTCATTTGTCTATAAAACAGGCATTGGTTGCTGTCAGTGTCACATATTTCAGTGAATATTTCTTTGGGATTTTTAACAAGTTTTACAGCAGCTTTAATAATGCTTTTATTTTCACTCTAGTTTACTGATTCTTTACCACTCATTTATAATGCAGTGTCTCGAATAGCCCTTGTTTCCCAGCTTCTCACGATGAAACTCTGTGATGAAAAGTGGTCACATAAACTGTTATAAATTCATTAAAGATTCAATAATGAGAGAAAGTCAAGTTGTCATACAGTTCAGGACATTATCTATTGAACAGTCCTCGTATTCTACCTTCCCTGTACATACCACGTGACTGTTTGAGTGAGTCGATTTCGGCAGATTAATCCAGTAGCTGAGATCGTAAAGACTGAACTCCATTCGTCAAAGTCTGGAGTTGAGAAAGTATCGCAGCTGGATAGTCCAATAACAGACGGGTCTCTTTCCTCGACGGATTATCATTATTTGCCGACGACGAAAATATCATAATACATACGATCAAGAATTTGAACAATGCAGTCTGCATTGTTTTACAGCAAGATGATTAATATAAGTGATAAAATTCGTATTTTCTGATATTTGTAGTTGACCTGGTCAGCTTATCTTATATTGGTGACAATTGACCGAAATGTGGAAGATCTACGCGTTGAATAATTATCAAAAGTGACTTCATAAGAAAAAAAAGCACACCAAATTAATGGACAGGTAAAGAATGAATCAATAAAAATGATGAATTTGCCTGTTTAATTGTTTACAAAGAATATTTAATGAAAAATATGATTTGCCTTATTATAAACGTTTAAGGAATGTGCATGTCAACATCCACATTTTAATCGTGATTTTTTTATGCGTCCAGATCGATAGATCGGGATGTATATTTTTTTCTGTCTATCTGTTTGTCTGTCTGTCTATTGTCAACTTTAACCTTCGCCATTACTTTTGAACCGTGAGAGATTGAGACTTCATGGTTAGTATGCATACTCCATAAATTAAGCTCGTATAAAATGACACCAAGGTAATTGACCTGACTTTGATCTTGATGTTTGACCTATTTTTTAAAAATTAAATATTACTTTGAACTGGACATAACTTTTAAATGACAAAAGATAGGACTTTCATATTATAGACGTGTATTACCTGTAACAAGACCTTTCTAAACAAACTGTAACGTGTCAGACCTGTGCGGTCAGTAGGTCCGTGCTCGGATTACCGAGTTTTACTGGGGATATTATTGAATGCAATATATACAGATAATACGACACTTGTCAAGTGTCTCTAAATCAAGTTAGCGAAGTGCTTTGTACAATAATTATATATCTTCAATTAATACCGGCACCTGCCTGGTGCCTTATGACAATTGCCTCACTATACAACTGGCTATACAAGTCAACAGACACCTGCCTGGCGTCTCTTAACAATAGGCCTTATCGGATGACACCTGCCTGGTGTCTTATCGCTTACCAAGTTGCCTATATAACTATAATCTAACCAAGTGGCTACAATATACTTACACAGTATCATGAGTATGAATGAACTTGTAAGAACTTCTCTGTCCTAATGACAAACCTATAGCTAACGTCGCACAGCTATTTATTTACTAGTCACTGACTACGGCAACTTTGCACAAATCGATCTACATACACCAAATGCTGAAGACGCAAGCAGGTTGGCTGTACTGTCCCCTTGTACCTCAACTTAATCAATGATCATAAGTTTTCAGATATTATACTAACAAAATACAACAAACTGCCTTTCTTTTGGCAACACAATTATTATTTTCTTACAGAACATCATTTATCAATATTACTTGTATATTCTTTTGTCAATTGACCGATTAATTACAATATTTACCTTGATTATCTATTATAATATAAACAAGTAACGAGAGGTAACTCCTCCAACCATTTCAAAACAATGATTTTTGACATCGTGACCTTTACCTTGAAGTTTGACCTACTTTTCAAAAATTTAATCTTGGTCAAATTTTTTGAATGGGAAGAAATAGAACTTTCATATTACACATTTGCATTAGCTGTAACAGGGCGTTTCTAAATACACAGCCTTGACCTTCTAGTTTGACCTACTTTTAAAAATTTAAACATTATTTTAAATTATCCATAACTTTTGAATGAGATGAGATAGGCTTTTCATATCAAAATGTGTATTACCTGTGACAAGACCTTCCTTAATACACTATGATTTTTGACCTCGTGGCCCTGACCTTGAAGTTTGACCTATTTTTCAAAAACTTTAACCTTGGTCATGAATTCTGAATTAGAAGAGATGGGACTTTCATATTCAACCTGTGCATTGCCTGTGACAAGACCTTTCTAAACACATAATGATTTTTTATCTTGACAAAATTGTTAATTTTCTTTATAATTTTTGATTGAGAATATATGGGAATATACGGGAACAGGTATGCAGATGATGGAGGTTTTTTTTTTTTTTTTTTTGTTTTTTTGTTTTTTGTTTTTAGCTGAAGGTATATTGCTGCATAAGTAAGAGAAGTTGATGATACAAATTTAGAAAAGTTCAATTCATCACGCATATAATAGAGCTTGGTTGTTAGATTTTCAAGTAAAATATCCAAATATGAAACAGATGCGTCAGAATCTATGGTATCTTTTATCTCAAACTCACCAGGATATATCGTATCGATATAAGAATGGAAATTACCATTGTTGGTGGACAATATGTCGTCGATATATCTAAATGTCGAGTTGAAGGACACAGCAAGTTTTTACTTCTCTTCACGCATACGATTTTGCACAAATTTTGTTTCATATGAATACAAAATAGGTCTGCTAATATCGGGCTCAATTGGAACCTATGGGAATTCGAAAAGATTGTTGGAAGACCTGGTTTCCAACAACAACGTAGATACCGTTTACAAGAAAATTTTCGCCCACGTTTTATTTTGCCCCTCTTTGGGCGAATTTAAAACGGAACGAATTCAAAGAATAGAATATAATTTCTTAAACAAAACTATAACTAATAACCCTGTATACAGTATTGTCTATCAGAAACTCAAGCATATTTTTGATGTCAACTTCAGAGTACAATCAGAATGTTTTTTAACAAAAAAGTTTTGCAAATGACTAATGACAAGGTAAGTAAATTTACGAGTTCCATTTTTATTGAAAAAGCAGCTGTCAATGATATCAATGATATAAAAAAGCCTGGACTTTAATTTATCCTAGGTAATGGTTTTGTATAAAGTTGAAAAGTCGTAAGTTTTTAAGCTGTTGATTTTGGTAAAATCTTTTGATTTCAAATTGTCCAAAAGTTCCGTAGAATTTTTAAGTATCCACATCTGATTTACACCACTTCCAAACACTTCCAGACCACAGTGTAACTATGAAATTTCGATACACAGAGACGTAAGCGTAGTCATGGGTCTTACAATAGACCTTTAATACACGATGTCTTTTTTGATTCATTACTACCTGATGTAAATCAACAGTTAGGTCTACATCATACTCGCGCCAAACTTTACTCTTTCCCTTTGAAACTTTTAAATAGTCTTACTGAAAAGGTCCAGGAAAACCAATTTTTTTATACATCGACACCGGAATATAGCCTCGGATTAAAGATCCAAGGCTTTTGAAATCATCACATTTTACTGAAGAAAATGCAGCTAAAACAATCCGTCTTTTCCTTAAACTTCAATATGTCCTGTATTTCCTACAAATATACGCCGACTATTACAAAAAAAAAACTTTACATGGCCTGGATACCAAGTATCTGAAACATAATCCTCGTGTTCATGTTTTTCTTCGCCCTATAACTATAGTCCTACTGGACACAGTATAACAGATGACGTAAATACTTTTAATAATTAGGACCTTAGATCACTTATTTTAAAAGTTCCTAAATAAAGGAAAACCAGATCTTTCAACTGGAGTCGGAATTTCATAAATATATATTCCTTGATAACATCGTGTATTAAAAGATTTTGGACAATATGAAAACCATCTATCCTTCTGTATTGTGAGGTGAAAAAAGAACTAGATAGATTGCATGATCAGTAGGTACTGGTTCCTGCTGACAAAGCAGGTAACAACATTGTCTTGGTTTGTAAGGCTCATTATATAAATCGCATTTTAGAAGAACTTGATTTAATTCTACAATAGGAAATCCAATTTATACTTACAGTTCCCTCTCCAAGGAGGAAATTCTGCAAAATCATATGTCAGTTTTGAATATTTTTAATATCACAAAGAATCAAAATTATTTTTAACTACCATATACTGTATATATTGGATTCCGAAACTTCTTAAGAATCCTAAACAAAGAAACATAGCAGGTTCCAGTAAATGTTCAACCAAAGATAATATTCAGAATAATAAAAGTTATGGGTTTTTTTCTTTATTCATTTTGAACAAACAACACAAGACACAAGTTGGTGGCTTGAGTACGGTGGACAGGGCAAAGATCCACATACTGCCCGAACAGGGTAGAACAGTTTTCCATTGTAATCTTTCATTCGGGATCCCTCGGTCATATACTCCGGATTTCCGTCCAAGCAAAGGAAGTCAGATCCATGGTGATCATCGTCTTCGGTAGTCAGAACTCCACTGTATTGAGTCGTCCAACCTGTTGGACACGCTGTTTTGGCGGGAATCATCATTGTTGACGCATGCGTCAACAAACATACAGCACAAGGGACGTCGTCATCAACAGCAATGTTTCTGTATGTAAACTGGTACTCCGCTCCATAAATTGTGCCCCAGGCATCAAATCCGCTGTTCTGATATGCCTTAGGATAATCCGAGGGTGTGGGGTCTGGGTTATGTGGCAAACATAGTGTATTCGTTCCACTTCCAGATATCGTGTAATCTCTCCCTCCCGAAATTCCTTCAAAAAGAAAAGTTATACTTTTGATATTATTAAGATAGGTTATGTTTTTTTTTAATATCTTCATTCTAGGAAATTTTTGAAAGATAATAAAACAATTATAATACTTATTATTACCAAACATGGAAAGACGGACTATAATTTTTTCTATTAACATTATATGTATATAAACTGGCTCTTGAAAAGGATTTTTACAGAACTACATACCACTGTACACCGTAGATGTTCCGTTTATTGAAGGACATGTTTTCTTTCCCCAAATGATGTACGTTGTACCTTATGAAAATATCAGTCCCTTTTATTATAATATCATTACTTTTATTCTGAAAATATTTTAGCCAATCAGACAACCAGGGAAAATCCAGATTCAATCATGGACAAAATCAGCATAGAACTGTAATATGAAAATATACTGTTTTACTATATTCTAGCTTTCCTATGTAATTTTGCAGTTTTTATCACCCTATACGTATTCACACATCGGGGACACAGGTCATGATTGATAAGACTAGGTATTTGGCATGACTTTACAACATCATGAATATAAACTTAATCAGATGTCAAACGGATTTTAGAAATCTTGGGACAGATTTATTATATCAGATTATAATAAACTAGCGAATACAATAGAGAAAAAAGAGGAAGGTGGAGAAACAGTAAGCACGTTCCTACCGTGGTTGCTCTGTGTTATCATATCCCTCAGCAACGTCATTTCGGATTGTTGGGTTGACTGTAGATTGTCAATATTTGATTGGTAGGTTGACTGTAAGTTGTCGAATTTTGATTGGTATGTTGACTGTAGGTTGTCGAATTTTGATTGGTAGGTAGATTGTAGATTGGACAATTGTGATGTCAGTGTTTGGACTTCCCTCTTTAGAGCTTCCATTTGAGAATTTATAAGATTAGGATCGTTCAAAAGAATTCGCTTTTCCTTTTCATTTCTTTCCGGGACATTTTCAGAACGCAACACAGCTAACTGTAATACACATATAAAGCAAGCGACACTGCAGACATTCCGTGTGTTCATTTTCATTCGACTCATAAAGGTTATGTGCATAACCCAATTGATAAGATCGGGGTCATTTTTATGATAGTGCTGTATTTCTGCATAAAATGTACGTGTATTATATTTTACATAATATTGAGTTTTATATATGGCAAGAAATTTGCTCATGAATACGTTACTCGTGCAAAAATAAATGGGCTTCTGTGTATAATTTTTAAGTACATTTATTTAAGATATAAAGTCCGCGTTTTCGTGAATGTTGCAGGATAACCTCCGAGGTCGAGAAATGTTGTTTGAAATATAAAAGCCTCGGCTTTTATCTTTCAAACAACATTTCTCGACCTCGGAGGTTATCCTGCAACATTCAAGACAACAAGGACTTTATTTCTATTCTACAAAGATCATGAAGATCGCTAAAATACGCCTGATCGTTTCCTCCATAGAGAAACGAAACAGGTCACCATGTCTCGATTACGCTGTTCCATTTAATACCAGAGGGAAATTTTGTTTGCTTACCTGTGCATGGAATGCAAACAATTTGAGCTTTCGTTGCATTAGAAATAGTCTTTTTAAATTTCAAATTTGTTCGTTATATGTATTGATTAATTTTAATGAATATACAATAACAAAACCATGTTCCTGTTTAACTGCTTTATTGGTGTTTAAATGTATAAGGAGGTCCGTGGAATAGCCCCGCCTGGCTATAAAAACAGACATTCATCAGCAACTTGATGCAATTTACAGTTTTCAGACTGCAAAACACGACACATCGATGTGGTCTAAACAAGTATTTCATTTTAGAGTCAAATATTTATTTCAACTGTACAGGTTTGATTCGTGTTTCTGATCTGATAATTTTTTGATGACCTTCGTGATTTATTGGAGAATAATGTCCGCGGCTTTTTTTGAAGTCTTCAATAATCGTGGTAGAATTGGTGTTCTTTTGTACACTACCGTATCTTATGCATGCATCTTGTAATACACGTGTAGATAATGTATCATTGCGACTGCTGAGAATGGCATCATACTGACACTTGGAATTTCCAGATGTAATCAGGTGCCTAAGATGAATAACCATTCCCTGTTGACCATAGTACCCATCGAGAGTCCTTAATTTGCATAGTCAAATTCTATCATGAAAACAAAGGCATAACAACTGTTATGAAATAAAAGCCAAAATACGAACCATTTGATAGGTTATATTAATTTGCTTCCAAAAATCAATAAAGTAACCTTCGATCATGCCGACTTTATACGATGTTTATGAAACCCCTGTAATATCAACTTTTCAGTGAGTAGTATGTCTTACATTGATCGTACTCCGAGCAAGCTCTTGAGTAGCAAATCGGTTGAAAGTATATATAAACCCTACAGGCAATAAAACTAAGGCTGTACAAAACTACAGGAATGGTAGGGTTTTGATTGGTTTTTTTTTTGGGGGGGGGATGCAAATTTCTATTTTTGTAATTATAGTCACATCTTTGATCGAAATCAAACACCGAAAGAAGAATATTGTATGTCAATGTAGTCTACGTATTTAAAAAATCGGACATAAATTGTAGGTGGAGTAGCATTCTAAAAATTGTTTGCAGACAAACAGAAAGACAGACAGACGGACGACGACACTTTACTATCGTTTCCTTACTCGCGTGGTTCCTACCAGTAGAACCAAAATATGCATACAAAAGGCTTCTAATTAATACTTTATTAAGCAAATATTATTTTACAGTGTATCAGGTTTTTTCAAAAACAGGAAGGCGTATTTAAACACCCAATTTTATGTTAACGCCCCCAAAATCTACATGATTCAAGATCAATAATATACAGCCTGTCAATAATTAAAAAACATTAGCTTCTGATTTGATTAAAAGGTCAGCTACCTGTGCTTCCTGATAATCTGAGTTTGCATGTTTTGAAAACGATTACCTGGTCACGCGTCAAACGCTTTCATGTACCCGCATAGTATACACGCGGATTAGAAAACTCCAATATATCTGAATTTTATTTTTAAAAAAATAATTGAAAGTAGATTATTAAAACATTGACATAATAGAATATTTCTTTTCTATCTTCACTGCTGTTTATTACTTGTAAGTGTTATATCGTCCACGTTTATCTGTAGAAAAAAGACCGCGTCCACAGAAACCGGCTCTATTTGCCTTAATTAGAAGTCCGACAAATTAAATTATTTTTTAAGAAATGGGATATAACAAAAATATTCAGCACTAATAAACTGCGTAGCATAGATTTTTAAAAGATGTTTTATTTTGTACTATGGCTACAATCCTCACGATGAGAAATTGATGTCAGAATTAATGCTCGAATTTCCTCTAGCGTCTGTATATATACGTAATGAAAATGTGAAGATAATTAATATTGTTCGATTCTGAAAAGAAATCTTTCTAACAATAAAATTTTGTAAGCACACGAAGAATCAAAAATATGGAATATTTTCGACAACATTGTTGGCCATTAAAAAAAAAACATGCGCGACGAATAGGTGGATCAATAATTTTTTATTTCAATAGTCAGACTTTTTTAATCAAGTGATTTCTTTTATTGAAGATTAAAAAAAATAAATATTATTGATTTGTAGTTTTTACTCGTGAATTTTTCTTTTATGTAAGGAAAACATTTTCTAAAAGGATATACATGTATCTTGTTTTGTTTTTTTTCCTCCAAAACATTACCATGATTACGATGAATGCATTTAGTTTACAAATAAATTCCATATTAAAATAATTATTTTACGTAGTTTCACTCAAAACCAGACACAAAACACGTAATGTTGACCCTGATTTACCAAACACAGACTTCCTGTGTAATGCTACGTATACACAGATTTTTGACATCTTGGGTATTGGGGTCTCCAGGTAAATAACACCACTGTTACTTTGACTACTCCCTCTCCTCAGGTAACCATACGGTAACAAAATTGGGTCTTTAAGTTAGGACCCCCCCTCCCCCGATTCTACGTCTCTGTTGAGGGCGTAGATTGATTTTGGGATCTTAAGATGGGGATATCTGTATTTTTTGACCAGTTTTGTTGAAAATCGTAAAATATATATGCAAATGGAAATTTCTGGGGTTTTTTTACTGTGCATTATATCTTAGGCCTCTTAAAAATCAGGGTGAGGGAAAATACAATGAATACTATATAAAACAAATAAGATATGAATTGAACACCCGGTATGTTTTTACGACCTATAAACTCTAAAATTATGTAATCGGTGCTCAAATCCGATAACTTTGCCAAAACGTTTCCTTCAAATTTTTTTTTTCATTTGTCTACCTGAAACTGATTTAGCTAGGATAAAAATGGTCATTTGCAAGTTCTATTTAAGTTAAAGTCTGTGGTTAGAACAATATGACATACGAAAGAAAATATTTTATTGTATGTACATGTATTGTGTAAAAATTTTAAATGATTTGACAAGCTACTTTATAGAACAAACTACACAAGAAATGGGTTGCTTGTTTTTGTACGATGGACAAGATAATGATCCACACACAGCTCGCACGGGATAGAATAGCCTTCCATCGTAATCCTGTTGTCGTGATCCCTCCGTCAAGTATTCTGGATTGACATCGACGCATACATATTCTGTTCCTGTATGGCCACTATAATCGGAACTGGGAGTCAGTACTCCTGTATATTATACGGACCAACCAGCTGGACAGGACGTTTTGGCGGGAATCATAGTTACAGAGGTGGCGCGTGAAGCCATGCACAGAGCGTAAGGAACATCGTCGTTGATGGCAACGCTTTTATACTTGAATTCGTATTCTGCGCCAAAAATGGTACCGAATAATTCACCAGCTACATTTTGGTACGACGTTGGGAAGTCAGAAGGAGTAGGCTCAGGATTGTGTGGCAAACATAACGTATTTGTTCCGCTTCCGTGATATGTAAACTGTCTTCCTGCTGATGTTCCTAAAAATGAAAAATAATGAAAATTTTAATCCTCTGAACAAGTACTGATTGAAACCAGTTGTTTTTTAAAGCAAACTACAAGTTTATAGAGAATTGCAAATTGAATTGTGTAATGTGTGTCCCCCTCTTTCGCGAAAGCGAGAGGACATTATATCTTATTCGTCTGACCGTCTGTCACAAAAACCTTATAACTTTTGAATGAGAAAAGATAGGACTTTCATATTTCATACGTACATTCCCTGTGACGAGACCCTTCCAAATTTACTATGGTTTTTGACCCCGTGACTTTGAAGTTTGAACTTAAATCGATCATAACTTTTGAAAGAGAAAAGATGGGGTTTCCATAATTCAAATGCATATTACCCGTCAATACCTATCTAAATATACATTTGACCCCGAGACCTAGACCTTGAGGTTTGACCTATTACAAAATGTTATCTTCCTTCTAACTTTTGATTGTGAAGGAAAAGAAATTTAATTTTTGACATGTGCAATACCTGTCAGAAGATGTTTCCAAGCATGCTTTGATTTTTGACTACTTGACCTGGACTTTTTTTTTATCTTATTTAAAAAATTTTCACTTTGGTGAGTACTTTTGAATGACACATGATAAGATGTTCATAACTGACACATGATGCAATGAATAATGGGATCCAATTCACTACGACACCGAAAGCGGGGGACCACACTTCTTTGAATTTACTTGTTCTTATTTGTATTCTACATTTTTTTTCATATTTTATTTATAATTTTCAATTTGTATTGTTTAATTTTCCATTGCTTTTGTTTATTAATATAAAGAAAATAAATTGTAAATTAGAAACTAGTAAACTAGAATAAATATAGATAGAAATTATACAATACAAATGAAGAAAAAAATATACAAAATATGAAATATTGCTGATCAAAATATTATTTTCTTAAAATTTGTAGTTTTCTTGCATTCTTAAGTTAAACAGATTGGGTAATAAAGGATTCTGTCATATTGCAATTTTATTTCAGATAATGTGTTTTACCACTGTAGACAGTGTGAGTACCATTCACAGAGGGGCACGTTTTCTTTCCTCATATAACGTATGATTCTCCTAAAATATGGCATT